TTATATTTTTAATAAAAATTAATTATAAAAAAATATTTATTACACCCTTATTTTGTACCCTAAGAGTATAGAATAAAAAAATCTTATTTTATTTAATGTTAAATGAGATTGTAAATTTATAATTTTACTTAATATTATAATTATATCATTATCTGTTTATTTACATCAATAAGAGATAACTTGAATGAATACAAATTGTGAAGTTGGTATTTATTAATTTAGAATTTTTAATTTAAAGTTAAAATTATAAATTCAATTATTTGTATTGCCAAATAAATAACTTTTTGATGAGCGTAAAAAGAAACACTTGCATTTGGCAATGACAAATGGTTTTTTGTTTTCCCTGTGTTACATGTTTCAAAGAAACTGTGTTGGATTAGGAATTATTGGATGGAAAATAGTTATTTTTTATTTAATAATTTAAATTGTGTATTTTGAAATAGTTTAAATTTATTTAAGTGATAATAATTTTAAAATTAATGTTAATTTTTATTTTTTTATGTAAATTGATATAAAAATATACAAATACACATTTATCCTGTACTTAACAATAAAAATTAAAAAAATCTTGAAAGTGAATCCATGATAGTTCTTCCAAGTTCCATGCACGAACATTTTTAAATCTTCTTCAATTTTCACATCTTTGGAATTTGGAAATGGAAAAGGGGGTCCCAAGTAAGTTGCTGCCACGTTATAGAAGGTTTCAAGGACATATCCCACGAATCCTGAACCCACCCAAGACATGGATAAGACATTCCACATTTCTATGCACCACCATGGGGAGTGGGCTTCAGGCTTTTATAAGCAGAACAAGAAGTTCTATCTAGTATGGGCTGGCCTTCTAGTTAATGACCATAGCGCGTACACAAACGGGTCGGCCATTTGATTTAATAACAACCTTGAGAAACTTTCCCCAGTTTAAGGGCCCAGCTGAGTGCTGACCCATCTACTTTTTTTTAATTATTATTATGTCAAATTGCATAACAAGAAATAATATTCTCTCATTACTTAACAGATCTTACTTGTATGTTATAAGACTCAAACTCATAATTTTTTATTTTCATCAAAAAAAAATTATGACTGAATTATTTGAATCATTGAATCGTTAACTTTACATTTGTTAATAATGGTAACTCTCTCATCTCTAAACTCCTCCCCACCCCACATTTAAACTTAAATTTGAAACTTCTAACATCAAGGCTTAAGTTCTTGCTTCCTACTTAAATTCAACTTTTATAACCTTTATTTGGTGTATACGACACATTTTTTTTATTGAATCAAAGAAGTAAATTTAATATGCAATGGGAAAATTGTTTATCTGTAACATCACTTAATTTTTTATATAAAAATTGTTTTTTTTTTTTTTGGTTTTTTTACAACCAACGGTAGAAGTTATATGTTATCAGTTTCAACCGCTAATTTAAAAAGGCTGTGAATGTTTTATAAACTAAGTACTACTTTGAACAACTATCATTCTTGACTTTTCATTTCATTGGCCACATAAATGAAGGCTACAAACTGATTTCTTATTTAGATTCTAGTAACAACTAAATTAAGAAACCCTTTCCAGGGAAAAAAGAGAGAGAGAGAGAGACTTAACTTCAAATATTTGCACACCAATTTATTAAGCAATTTAGTGATAGTTTTTCTGATAAAAATAAAAAATTTTAAGTTTAAATTATATAACATATAAATAAAATAAATTAAATGATAAAAAAAATTATCTTCAATTTTACAATCCAAAACTTAAAACAATAAAAAAATCAAATACTTGCATCCGTGGCCTATAGTTTGACATTAATAATCTAGTCTGCTGGTTCGAGGGTGAAGCCCACAGCCGAGGTCAAGTCCAAACAACGGTGCGTGTTTAATGAGTTGTTTGTGTGTTGTCTTAGCATTCCCATAAATATGGTAGCTCATAAGTCGTATCATCCCCCAAGTTGTGGTTTCGCAGCGTAGCTGTATTTTCTATCCTTTAATGTTGGCTTAGCTGGTGAGGGATCTTTTTCCCTTTTTTCGCCCATCTATGGTCCTAGTTGCCTTCTGTGACCGAAGTTCCTATCCATTAAATGGACTAGTCCAAGTCTCTGCAGTCTGCCCCTACCCTCGACCCAATGCCCTTGTACTTTAGGCATATACTTAAATGGGTAAAAGTTTCAACCTGCAACTTGGTCTCTACCAGTACTTTGTGTTTAGCTTTAGATTTGAAAATTTGACTCTAAAACGATAAAAGATATTTATCACTTACGACACGTTAGATATTAAAATATAATAGGGCAAGACATAACAACAACTATATATGAAGCTGAATTAGATTGAATCAAATATAAAAATTGTTTGGTACAAAAATTTGAGGTTAATTGTTAAGAACTTAGATTCATCGAACAAATAAAAATACTTAACTAATAAATAACAATAATTCTAC